ACCTCATCTTTCTCCCAGTCAGCTTGGCTAGGCTAGGGCTATCAGCAGTTTGGTAGTTGCGGGCTCTGCCGTGATATGATCTAACATGATGTAAGCAACTCTATAATGGGATCTTCTGTGAGTAACCAAGCAGTTTTCTGATTTAGCAGCTAAATACAACATGGCTAAGTCAACTCCATCAACATGGGGGGGCGGGGGGGGATTGATTAAAGCAGCTACTATAGCAAAATATGTGAAATCGTTAATCATGAAACAAAGTATCTAGACCATGGAAGAAGTTGAAAAGTTGCTATTAATTTGTACAAACAAAAACAACTTGATGGCAATAGCATATCTGAGGCAGTGATATGAGAAGGCTAAGATCCTCTATAGTGATTTAAGGTCCTGGAAAAATGAATTTTAAATGTAACTTTAGGACCGCAAAACCAATTATTTTGTTTCTATTATTTCTTATGGAAAAATATATTCAGTCCTTGAGCTTTTCAGTGTTTGAACACGAATTTGAAACAAATTAACTTCAACAACCGAGATATCACTGTGTGTGTGTGTGTGTATATTCACTCATTTTGCTTCTCTAGAGAACTCAGCCTAACACAGCAACTGACACATAAGTGATTACATCCTTTCCTAGAAAGACTCATTTCAGAGTCTATACTACACAGAAGTACCAATTAATTACACAGCTGGTGAAAAAGAAAGTTGTGCATAGCCATACTTTATAAAACACAAGAGGAAACAAGGTTGAGCTTGATGAAAATGCAAATAGAGTCTCTAATACAAGTTCTGGAATTTAAAAATGTAAGAATATCATATAGCCACAGACTACTCGAACTACAGCATGAGGAAAAAGTCATTTATAAAGCGACTCAGCTATATAGTTAGTTCCAGTTTTCCATACTTTAGCTTCTAAATACTAGTACCTAGTCACAAAATATCACTGTAGTGAATGACTTAATATGGCTCTTTGAAGAAATAGCACAGGGGCCGCATCTGAAGTCCGCAAGCTACATACGATCTGAGGCCAACTGCCAAAAGGCAGCAATCTGACATGCTTCAACCCTCCATCTTTATCCTATTCTAACACCAACCATCCCTCTCACAACACTACTTCTCTGCTGGGTTCAATGATCTGTTACAATGGCCACACAGAACTCACAATTGTGGGGTTTATTAGGGAAGTTCAGAACAACCCTATAGGACAGAGAACTGCCCCGTGGGCTGTAATCCAAGGCTGTAATCTTTATGGGAGTAGAAAGTCTCTCATATTTCTCCCATAGAGCATCTGGTGGTTTCACACTATTGACTTTGCAGTTACCAGGCCAGTGCAGAAGCCACCTATGAGTCTGAATCTGTTCAATGGCAGTGAGTTTGGGTTGTTTGTAGTTTACTAGGAAAGTTTAAAAGTTACCACAAATCAGCATGAGAAAACATTAAGGATATAATCTTTTGTCCACAGCAGAGCCTCACAGTCAAGAGCAGTATCTTTCTGGTCCTTAGCCTTTCAGTCACTTGGTCCTATGGCCTCGGCCTTATTAGTCTGGGAAGAAACAAGGCCATCATTCTGCCTCACAGGTGTAGTGCTGCTCTGCTCTGCTCCGCACTGCTTCATGGTCTCAGTGTGGCTCCTCTGCTCTGTCTCATGACCCTGGTTGCTGCAGCCTCTGATGCCTCTGCTGTCTCCATCCCTTAGGCAGGGATCTTACACGCACTCCAATGTTGGCTTTTCTTTCTTGATGATAAAGGGATTCTTTCTCCCTGCTCCTGACATAATTCACTCTATCCAATGAATGGTAAAATTAACCAATCCCCTCTATTAGTGTTACACAAGTGTTATTTACATTGTTTCATCCAATCATTTGGTGGGAGTTACAAAGACCTAAATAAACAAGTTGTATGTATAAAATTTCACTTCACCACACCCTTCTAGGCATCACTTGTCTGTGAGTTTATCACACTGTGATGACTTGTGTGTTGCTGTGATGCTAGAAGCTATACTGCTGGTATTTCAATTACATAGCTTCCAGCATATTGCTGCACAAGACCTCTTTAGAGTACTGAAGAGCAAAGATGTTACTGTGAGGACTAAACTGGGCCTGACCCAAGCCATAATATTCTCCATTGCATCATATGCATGTAAAAGTTGGACATTGAATAAGGAAGACTGGAGAAGAACCAATGCATTTGAATTGTGGTGCTGAAAAGAGTACTATGGAGTGCTAAAAGAACAAATCAACCTGTACTGGAAGAAGTAAGGCCAGAGCACTCCTGGTTCTCAACCTGTGGGTCTTGACCCCTTTGGGGGCCAAACGACCCTTTCACAGGGGTCGCCTGATTCGTAACAGTAGCAAAATTACAGTTATGAACTAGCAATGAAAATAATTTTATGGTTGGGGGGTCACAACATGAGGAACTGTATTTTTTCAATCATTTTATTAGGGGCTCATACAACTATTATCACAATCCATACACACATCAATTGTGTAAATCATTTGAACATTCATTGCCCCCATCATTCTCAGAACATCTGCTCTCCACTTAAGCCCCCGGCATTAGGTCCTCT